AACTGTCTGCCACAGATCAACAAAAAAATAAAATGTCTGCCACAGAAACAAAAATACATTGAAATGTCTGCCACAGAAACAATCATACATCTAAAAGTCTTCCACATAAACAACAATAAATTTAAACGTCTCTTACAGAAACAAAACTGACACAAAATCAACTTACAGAAAACAACAAGCCCATGGACTTAAAGTTCTTGCCAAGGACAAACTCGGATCCAGCGTCAGAAAATCCTAACAACGTCTGCACCAAGTCACCGACCCACTTGAACGCTGAGTAGCCAAAACTGGTTCTCAGGGTCAAAATGGCGAACACAAACTGGATCACAAATCCCCAGAAAACTGGATGCCAATTAATCTTTAGGGAATAAAATAGGATAGGGGATGAAACCTAGCTCGTACGTTTGTGCCAGATTAGACAAATACATTTTGTAGACTGTATAACTGTAGAATATAACTTTCCTCCTAATACCTAATTATGTCATTTGTAGAATATTAAAGAAGTTGTCTGCCTGGCTTTGACCAGTCCTGCAACTTCAAGAGTCACGTCCGTGATGGGACTCCAGCAGGCATATTTGAGATGCTCGTACAGCATTGTAAAAAATGTGCACGCAGAACACCTGCACAAAGTGGTACCCTTGTGGAATCATACATTCCTGTACGGGTATTGATGCTGGCCTCAGTAATAACTTGTCTTTTCTTTTTTCTTTTGTTTTTTCTTTATTTTGAACAATGTAGACGACATTTTTGAGTCTTCTTTTTCTCTTTTTCCCTTCCTCTTTTACCATTGTGGTTGTCGAGGGGAAAAAATGTTTTGTTTCGACCATAGAGATATTGTATTGTTGTAGAATCTCTGATGTTATCTTTTCATCTTCTCCTTGGTCTTCTTTCTCTACGCCTTTTTTTTTTTTTAATTTTTTTTTATTGTTATATACCTTCTTTGGAATAGCATCGCAAGGTATTATCTCCATGTTGGCATACCATTTTATTGACTTGTTTCTGTGCTGACATGGGATCCAAATGGAGCAATGATGTGCAATACAAGACTCGTAATGTCTATTAGCCTCTCTTGCTCAAGCCTTGCTCAAGGTTGGGGTTTCAACCCCCAGCGGGAAACTGGATGGGACAACAAACGAGGTAAAAGCGAAAGACAAAGGGATGAGCCTACTCTCCTCGAGTATGACCACAGTCTACCCTTGCAAAACAAGCTGCTGAAGTCAGAGGCAACCAGCCAGGAGGCGCAACACAGCAATCAGGATGCCACGCACATACGCCATGGAAGTATGTCTAAATCAGCAAATCGATATGGTGCTCGCCCTGTGATGAACATTTTCTCTTATGACATCTTTCCTGGATTTATCTGTTATGTTCACTTCTGTAGCTTGTCTTAGACAGCCCTATTCCGTGGTTACTAATTTCCTTTCTCGCCTGTTGTGAGTGACCCATGACCAGCACTGATAGCATAGAGTGGGAATGAATATGCTTTATATGCGATGTTCCTTTGTGCTGACTTGGATTACTGTATGCTGTAAAAGCAGGCTGACTGTCCGTATATTTGGTTTCCTTTATTGCATTTGAAGTCAATTTATTCATCCAATTTGCCTCTCCCGTGAATGTTGTTCAAAGTTATTTAAACTCAGATACCTTTGACCTCTACCGTTATACTAAATTTCTGCATCTTTCTTTCTATTGAGATTACTTCTATCTTGCCGATGTAGATACTTATTTGTTTCAGATTCTTCATTCATGGATGTAAGATGCTGTTACAGTTGCTGGGCGGTATCTTTTATCAAAGCCTGGCCATCAGCAAAGAGTAATTCTTTGATATTACTGATACTTTCTTTACTGTGCTTGGCATCCTTGCTTATGCTGGTGATGTAGATGTAGCGATTGGACACATGTCAATAGCTCGATCTGTGGTCTTTAATACAATTTATGTGTTTCTATCTATTTGAGAATCTGGATGCAATTTTATTTATGGGCAGAAAGTCGTATTATGCTATGTGTAATTAGGTTTGCTAGTGTATTGTTGAGTTTGCAGTGGAGCTAATACTATTATAAGGATTCTTTATTGTAACTTGTGTAGTGTTAGTTTTGCTGTGTTGTGTACTTATGTACTGAAAGAGCAGTTGACAGATAAAGGCAGATCAAGAGAAGGACCAAGAGACAAACAAGAATATAGGCTGATACATAAAGAAAGAACAAGCGAAATACAGTGATGTAGACTGAGACACAGCCAAATAGATAAAGGAAGATCGAGGGGAAGACAAGGGTACGAACAGGCTGGAGATAACAGATACAAGGATAAAGTATTGAAGACAGTCACAAAATGTACACACACACACAGAGAAAGTGGCATGCGAGACGTGGACACTCACTTTACTGGGTTTCTTGGAGAGCAGAAGGCAGATGATGATGATGACTGCAATTCCAATGAGAGACTGACAGTTCTGTGGGTTGTACCGGAGCACGTCCAGAGCCAGGAAGACACTCAGCCCGGCTGTGACACCAATGTACGACCCGCTGCAATCAGGCAATAGCCATATCAGTGTTAAGACAATGTACAAAGTCCGGCGAACATTCTCTGTGGGCGCCTCCGTGGTGAAGCTGCTAGACGCTCGTCTGCGGATCTGAAGGTGTTGGAGTCAGATCCTGACGCAGCCGGACTGTTTTCAGAAGTGACCCTGGCTCCCACGTTGACCCAGACTATAATGAGTCACAGGAACAGTCTTGGGTAGTAAAGGTAACCAGTGTGATGCTGACCACATCACTCACCGAGTGTTGATGAGGTTATTAACATAGGTCTACCCCTATATGCCCAATACGCACGGAAACACCGAAAAGGGTCTTCTATTGTTACCATTCTTTCTGGAAAAGTCGATGGCTGCAGTCACAGATAAGATCTTGTGGCTACCATGCTGCCTGGACAAGCAGCTATGTGTCTGTATCTGTGTCCCATGGCTCTGTATCTTTTTAACATCATTATTTTTTTTTACTGGTGTCAAATTATCATCAAGTATATATCTCATCACATTATGTAGACATATGCATCACAACGTACGGCTGTCCTTAACCGCGCAGGCTCAGAGGTTACATCAGGCTGGTGTAACCGTTAGGTGGGCCCCAGTTATAGCTTCTCAGGAGGGTGAACAGGACATCTGAGATATGTCCTTTTGTTTCTGAGATATGTCCTTTTGTATCTGAGATATGTCCTTTTGTATCTGAGATATGTCCTTTTGTATCTGAGATATGTCCTTTTGTATCTGAGATATGACCTTTTGCATCTGAGATATGTCCTTTTTGCATCTGAGTTATGTCCTTCTGCATCTGAGATATGTCCTTTTGTATCTGAGATATAATATGTGTTGTTGCATCTGAGATAAGACATGTGTAGTTGCTTCTATGATATGACATGTGCAGTTGCATCTGAGATTTGATATGTGCTGTTGTATCTGAGATATGACATGTGCTGTTGCATCTGAGATTTGACATTTGCTGTTGCATCTGAGATATGACATTTGCTGTTGCATCTGAGATATGGCATGTGCTGTTGCATCTAAAATATGACATGCTGTTGCATCTGTGATATGACATGTGTTTTTGTATCTGAGATATGACTTGTGCTATTGCATGTGAGTTATATCATGTGCTGTTGCATCTGAGATATGACATGTGCTGTTGCATCTGGGATGTGACATATGTTGTTGCATCTGAGATAAGAATGTGCAGTTGCATCTGAGATATGACATGTGCTGTTGCATCTGGTATATGACAAGTGCTGTTCAATCTGAGATATGACAGGTGCTGTTGCATCCGAGATATGACCTGTGCTGTTGCATCTGGGATATGACACGTGCTGTTGCAAAATTTGGAGTTTAAAATCTACCTAAGTATTTCAGGATTATCGCAAGTGCTACAGAACCTGCACACTGTGCTGAGCATTTTCATACTCAGACTTGAGTTGGAAGAAGAAGGGAGCACTAATGAGTTTCACCCGTGTGACATGATGTTGATCCGTTGAGAGCGACGAATCGAGGGTAATAAAAATACTCATACAGAGAAGAAACTTAGAAACACTTGACAAAAGTACAGTTACAACGTAATTTCTTTGGATGTCACACAACAAATTAAATATCGGAAACAAATTAAATACGTTAGTCCCGCCACCATTTTACAAACGAATGTTATATCTCAATCCTCACTAGTTCAGGGGGGTAACCGAGCTACTTACTAACGTAAGACCATACGACATTTCCTCCCCTTCGGTGACGACAAAGCCCTTGCCAGGCTGGCAGATACATCACACTTCCAGCAGTGTTGCAACACCAACTTTCTACAGAGGTACATGGCCAACAGGGCAGTGCCAACAACAAGCACAATGGATCCCTCATCTCCGAATCTGAAAAAAGAGATAACATTTTATACACTTTTGTAACAATAATTGAAAGTATTGAAAGGAATGTAATCTAGCTAGATCTCACTCTGGTCTTCTGTGCTTCATATATATATATATATATATATATATATATATATATATATATATATATATATATATATATATATAAACACTAGCCTGTTCCATGCTTTAACGCGTATTGGGCATATAGGGCAAGACGTACATTTTACTGTCCAATTGCCACTGGGGATGTAGTGTTGTGGTCAACATCATGTGGGCCTCCTTTATTTTCCAGGACTTTATCTGGTATAAATGTATTGCTTGTTAGGCCTAGAGAATAAAGTCATTTTTGTGTATCAGGATCACTGGAGTGTATCAGTAACACCCGGAGTGTATCAGTATCACCTGGAGTGTATCAGTATTATATGGCATGTATCAGTAACACCTGGAGTGTATCAGTATTACCTGGCGTATATTAGTAACACCTGGAGTGTAACAGTAACACCTGGAGTGTGACAGTAACCCCTGGAGTGTAACAGTAACACCTGGAGTGTATGAGTAACACCTGGAGTGTATCAGTAACACCTGGATTGTATCTATATCAACTTGAGTGTATCAGTAACACATGGAGTGTATCTGTATAACATGGAGTGTATCAGCATCACCTAGAGTGCATCAACAACAGACGGAGTGTATCAGTATCACCTGAAGTGTATCAGTAACACATGGAGTGTATCAGTATAACCTGACGTATATCAGTAACACCTGGAGTGTATCAGTAACACATGGAGTGTAACAGTAACACCTGTAGTGTATCAGTATCACCTGGAGTGTAACAGTAACACTTGGAGTGTATCAGTAACACCTAGAATGTATCAGTAACACCCGGAGTGTATCTGTATCACCTGAAGTGTATCAGTATCACCTGGAGTGTATCAGTAACACCTGGAATGTATCAGTAACACCTGGAGTGTATCTGTAGTACCTGGAGTGTATTAGTAGCACCTGGAGTGTATCAGTAACACCTGGAGTGTATCAGTCTAATCTGGAGTGTATCAGTAACACCTGGAGTGTATCAGTCTCACCTGGAGTGTATCAGTAACACATAGAGTGTATGAGTAACACCTGGAGTGTATAAGTCACACCTGGAGTGTATCAGTAACACCTGGAGTGTATCATTCTCACCTGGAGTGTAGAAGAAACACCTAAAGTGTATCATATCACCTGGAGTGTATAAGTTACCCCTGGAGTGTATCTGTATCACCTGGTGTATCTGTAACACCTGGAGTGTATCAGTAACACCTGGAGTGGATCAGTATCACCTGGAGTGTATCAGTAATACTTGGAGTCACGTGGATTGCATCAGTAACACCTGCAGTGTATCGGTATCAACTTGAGTGTATCAGTAACACCTGGAGTGTATCTATATAACCGGTAAAAATGCAGAATCCTGGATAGTCGGGGGATATTACATGGTTCTCAGGTCCACGTACCCAGGTGCAGGTCAACCATAGGTTAATGCAGGTCTGCTGTTATCCAGTTTACAAGCCAGAGACAACCTCCTTTCTCCATGAGTGAAGACATCACAATATCATTTCGGACACTGTTGCAGGCATCCCTAAGATCTAGTGCTGTCACAACCGTCTTCTGTCTATTCTGGAATTCCTCATAAATAGCAAAAACAAAAATAGCTGCATTTAACCAGATATCCTTCCGTGGCCGGTAACTATCCATACCTTTTGGCAAGTGCCCTTTCCTTTCCAAAAACATGTGTAGTTTAACAGCAAAAATCTTTTATAGCATCTTGTCGAAAGCATTCTGTAGGGGGATAATCCTGCAACCGCTGAGTCTGCCTAATTTTGGAAGTAGGATAAGGTAGCTGTGTACCCATTTCTGGGGTACTGAAGTTCTTATGATTCTCTGGTTAAAGTGAAATGCCATCCCTCCCAAGTCATCATCAGTCTTGCTCTTCATGTAGGTATACCTGATGGCGAGTGTGACTAGCAAGACCCACCCGCGTTAACAGTTTTCCACAATTAGAATATGGAATTTCAAGACCGCTGTTGCTGTCAGATTTAGTTAAACCGATTCTTCTCAGAAGCTCAGCTCTTATCCTGCATGCAGCTGTTTCCTTATTCTGATTTTTCCTGATTTGCACCTTCCACTAGGCACGGTCCATGGCATTTTGTTCCCATGGATTTACTTAATTACCTTTAACTTTCATGTTCCGCTTGCATACATCTTTATATCATAGCAGAGACTGGCCTTGACATCTCCTATCCATATACTTCAAAGCAGAGGATGTCCTCAGGGACTGTGCCTTCCTTCTTGTCTCCAGGTGTGACCTGGCCATCACTCGAAAAAACTTTGTGAAAAAAATTCTTATTTTTTTAATTCCTATTTTTTTGTCGGGCGAAACCTTATTGGGCAGAGACTGACCAGCTTGAGGCGGTAGATGATCAGTGAAATTAGTAACTGTCTCTCAGCGTCAGAGGCTACCCGTGGCGCCTGCGTCTACGCCAATTGACAAGGACTTGTAACAGTAACTGCTGCTTCTCGATTTGTTTCTGAGACCAGATAAGGCCAGGGATAAAGTTCCTCCTCTCCGTAGCACAAATCCTGGACATTATTTTAGAGACCGTGTGTTACCCATGCATCTTGACTCGGTCTGTCTTGTTTAATCCAGAGAAAAGGTTACACCAATACTTTTGGAAACAAGCAAGGTGCAGAAGCTGCCGCATCATAAGAGTACACATAAACACACAATGAATTCCTTTAATCTAAGTTGTTCCTGATAAAACCTACCTATAGTACATGCAGTATGAGAAATAGACAAGGTACACCAGAAGTAACGCCACCTTGTACCATCTCTGAACAAGGGGCATCACCCGAGCACAGACTGCGTCGATGGCTTTCTCCAAGACTTCCATACATCGAGCACAGGGACCTCTATCATAGGCATCGTCCTCGGCGATATCCAGGCAATGGTTGGATATCTCCACGTCATTCTTCCCGTTGTTAGCATCAGGTTTTGTCAGTTGTTTCAGCTGGATTCCGTTGTCTGTGGACACGTTTAGGGAGTCGGTGCTAGGAAGGACAGTCATCTGGCAATTAGAACAATCATAATTCTTTACAGCAGGGGTTAGGCATCAGCAAAGAAATCACAGTTACAATTTTAAGAGCATGCATTTTCCTTTTGGCAACATACAGATGTGAGTCGTAGACTATTTTACAGTCCTTAAGGAAGAAAGTAGAAGCTTTTGAGCTGAAATGTTATAGAACGACTCTCACAATACCAGTTCACTTAAGGACATAGAACCCGACGAGGAGTGAATAGGTGCAAGTGCCTTCATAGTGCTGTAGCTCTTTCTCTGTATGCATCCAACTAGACAGTTAATGTAAATAGTCTGGATGTTGTCGAAGCAGAAGTTCAAACCTTTTCTTTGGAGACTGCTCCAGATGGTGATGCTGTCATTTACACAGATGGGTCTGTCATGCGTCATGTTAGAAGCGTGTGGGCTTTTACGGCTCCGGGTGCAGGAAGAGTTGAGAAGGAAGATTTTGGAGCTTTTGCGTAATTACAATTAGTTTGACCATGGAAGTCATTGGCTGTGACTAAAGCAGTAACATGGCTAGAGACTTTTACCGGGGCATCCTTCTCAGTGACTCGAAGAGTATGCTCAGGAAGACAGAGAAGAGCTGGATCCGAAAGTAGTGATTGGTGGCTCTACAGAGTTCCGCTGACAATGATTAGTTTCAATGTCGTGCCAGGACACGTGGGGTGCAAGGAAACGAGCAGGCTGATAGATTTACAGGTAAGATTACTGTAGAAGCCGGACAAGCCATGGACCAGGCTGATATACTGAATGCTCTACGAGATTCAAGACTTTTGCGTGAACTGAATCTGCAACCATGGTCAGACTGCGATTTAAACGGGGTGTCGCCAAAAAAGATCACTATGTGGGTAGCCAAAGAAGAAAAATAAACAAACACAGAACTGGTGTCGTCAGCCGCACATGCTGGGGGATGTACTAAGGTGGGGATTCGAGCACTTATGGACTCAGTGGTTCCACGTGCAATGAGGATAATCTGTCCACTGTCTATATATAGTGTGAGTGTGTGTGTGTGCATGTGTGTGTATGTGTGTGTGCTTGCCTGCTTGTATGTGTTGATGTGTACATGGGTGTGTGTGTAGTTTGACCCGTGCTTTCTCAGCACATATTTCTGAGATATGTGTATGTAATTTTGAAAAACCTGGTTATTATGTCTACATATCTGAACGGTGGTTTTCCCTAAATGATGGAAGATCATTTACGGCCAGGGATGAAGTCCAACCTCTCCATGGCCCTAGGATTGTAGAGACCATAGTTTGCCAGTGCAGCATGATCCCTCACTCACCCTGCTTTGTTTAGTCTTGAGGAAAGGTAACACAAATACGTTTGGAATATATCAGGCTGCAAAAGCTGCCGGATCAGAAGTGCAGTGCTCTGTCTGTCTGTCAGAGCTTCCCTGTTAGACCAGCCAAGGCTAAGGGCATATATATATATATATATATATATATATAGATGTGTGTGTGTGTGTGTTCGTTGAAGTTCGAAATGAATTTATTAAAGTAGCAAACAGTATTATTTACATCATCTACAATGTTTAAACAGAGGAAAAGAAACACTTATCTGCAAAAGTAGAAACAAAATGTGCCCATTAAGTAGGATTTAGATCCCGGTAATTACTGTTCTTTTAAGAACGACGTGCTGAAGTAATGTTCCAAAGTCATCGCCGTTCCAAACACAGCAATTATTTAAATAAACTAATTGAATACTTCCCCAGTCATTTTTTATATGTAGCTCTCAAACTTGGGACACATTACCACACAAAAAGACGAAACCTTATTGCAAACTACGTGTTCGTCTGCACTGTGATGTCACATGCTTATCACTCTTGGTATCCTTAACAACAACACCGACCTGTTACCAGACAACTGAATAGTCACTGTAACAGCTGTCATATTTTCATGTTAAACTTCCGTGTATAAGCAGCAGAAAAATGTTTTCGGTAAATTAAACTAATCACTATAACTTGGACAGTTCCAAGCCATTGTAACTTTTAAGTCTTTCTAATTCCCCCCCCCCCCCCCCACATCCCCCCACCCCCAAATGGAGCTTAGATCTTTCAGGTAGAAAGTTCAAAACAGAAACGTGAAAGTGCAGAGGCCGGTAATAAAATAAGTGAGGCAACACTAAACATAACATTTGTGATAGAAGACCAAGAGAGCATCATAGCTTCTTTAGGATAATCAAGAAAGACTCGATGAGTACCACACACAAAAAGTCAAGGACTAAACGCTGACAATGTAAAATTATTAGATTTTCAAAATAAGAATAATGATAGAAAAAAAATGAATACTAGTAGAAATAATAGACTTTCTGGCCAAAATTAATCCGTGCAGTAGAACAGCAGAGTTGAAATTCTTCCAAAGAGAGGGTTTAAGAAAAAAAAAAGGGGGGGGGGGGGGGGTGGGGAGCAACAGAAGTGATTCACAGAACTACTAAACACATTTTTGTAATGCTCTTGTATTTTATTAGATTTTGGAGAGAGGCAGTGAGAGTACCAGAACTATGGCTTGCAAAGGAGATGACAATGATCTTTTTCTACAGGACTTTCAATGTTTTCCTCTTCTTCTGCGTTTGCTTTTGAAAAAGAGGTTTCATGTTGTATTATGGTTCTCAGCAAAGCTCCTTCATCTGCACGTTTTTTGATGAACGAATTTGAAGACAGACAATGGGTAAATTACCCTATTCACGGTAAAATTATTTCGCTACCAGAAGGTTTCACGGAGGATTCCAAAAGGAAGAAATAACCAGTAAAGAAAAATCGCGAATAAATTTATTGCAAAGTGGTAAAATACAAATGAGAAGGCCAAATTTCCCAAATGCTTTGAGAGAATAAAGGATTAAAGCTCAATTAACGCATCGAACGTTGCTTGGGACTTAAAGAGTTAGATTAGGGGCCCCTTCCATTTTCCAAGAGCATACGGTCATAAGTGCTATGCGGACAAACGTACCAATAACATTCAAGTAGGTGGTTACATTTTTAATATTTAGGTATTAGCAATGTGACATGGTCTATGGTCGAAGCAGCCAGAAGAGCACAAAGCAGGGCCTTATATCTCCTTCGACACTCGAAACATTAAAAGACGACGCAAAGAAAGAGAAAAATAAAGAATCTAACATAAAGTTTTAGGGGTCCGTGAACTAAAAGTATAGAAACCACGCTACACAACCACCAAGAACATTTGCAAGGGTTTAGCTGCTTCCCCCCCCCCCCCCCCCCGGCCACACCTTCCTCAGATTATGTATAGGAAACATAAAAACGAACGAAAAGTATATCAGCCATCTTCATATATCATGCATAGACTTTCGCTCTTTAAGTTTTTGTTTGTACCCCTCAAAATATTTCATCAACATTATTGTATTGTGATGTAGCGCATAATACTGATGATGATGATGATGACGATGATGATGATGATAATAATAATAATAATAATAATAATAATAATAATAATAATAATAATAATAATAATAATAATGCTGGTATTTATTATTATTATTATTCATAAACCACTTCTGCCGTTAAGCGGTGTGGGGAGGAATAATTTGCGATCCAGTGCACGTTGGCTGCCACTGGCTATTGTCATGCCGTGAAGGCGTAGAGTGTCTTTAATGTTGTCGATCCACTGTTTTCCGCGGCCGTCCTCTTGCTCTTGTAGCTGATCTTCAGAGATGTAGTGCTTGTGATGGTATTTGATCTTGTTGCATTCTAACGAGATGGCCAAACCACTTGATCTGCTGTTTCTCGCTGAATCTAGTACAAGGTGTCGTTCCCACAATTTGCCTGATAGTTTCATTTGATCTCGTATGGTTAGGTTGGCTGCTTTTCTAAGGCACCTCATCTAGCAGGTGGTGATTTTGCGTATGTGGGCTTTAGATAGTGTCCATGTTTGGCACTGGTAGCTTAATGTTGGAATGAATATGCTATTAATAATATGTCTCTTTGCACTCATAGTTATGCTTGGATGTCTTAATAATGGTGACAATTGTATTATTATTATTATTATTGGCAGTTAAAAAGGCTAAAGCCTCTTCAACCCTCTCGCTCTCTTGATTATACATTCCATATTATTTTAAATATTATATGTATTTACCATTAAAAAGACAATATTAGTAATAATGATAATAATAATAATAACAATGATAACAATAATCAGGGCTTTTATGTTCTAGTGGTAAACAACGGCATCTCTATGGTGAATGACAGAGTGGTAGATGATGTCGACCTCGTCCTCTGCTACGATATAAATATGGTGCAAGCGGGACCTGAATGATACAGGGACTGAGGTGCATTCATGGCAGCAACATGCCATCGACCGCGTTGAGTGGACGGGTCGAATGAGGAGAATAAGAAAGAATAAATGAATAAATAATTACACAAAGGATTGAAGCTGAGCGTCTCCGGAAAACCCAACTAAAACATGTGACGGCAACAACAGTCCTGATATCACATGCTCTATCTGTGAAAGACTTTGCTTAACCCAAACGGGTCTTGCTAGTCACACACGCCATTGCCATGGGCATTGAGTCCCATGTCTCCTCATAGCACAACATATCACTGTTTGGAAAGTTGGAAAAGTGCCAACAACAGCACAACGGTACTCATACCGGTGCATACGTGTAGGCATCATCTGCACATCGGTACTATAATAGTCATTTTGGTCTCAGTACCGGCACATTTGTAAAGACACTGTGTTGCGAGTAAAATTACCATAACCTATTAGTCTTGAAAAAAATAACAAGCCCTCGTGATGATAATGATGATTATGATGGTGATGATGCAGTAAAATTTGGATGACACAACTTCGAAGGGACTGAAAATTAAGTTCCTATTAAACAAAATATTTGGGCACACGGGGCGCATCTGCTGCAGCAGCAGCAGTGGTAGTAGTAGTAGTAGTTGTAATAGTAGAAGTAGTAGTAGTAGTAGTAGTAGTAGTAGTAGTAGTAGTAGTAGTAGTAGTAGTAGTAGTAGTAGTAGTAGTAGTAGTAGTTGT